ATATTTGGTCCTCGACTTAATTTATCATTATTGAAATATTTTCATGCGTTATAATTTTAACGAATAGAAATTTCAAATGACGCTTGATTTTGCATTTTTTTAATACAATCTCAAAATAATCAAAAAATTATAAATTAAATATCTCTGGTAAAATATTTGTTGATTTGATTTAACTAAATTCGCCTAACAAATTTAAATAATTTCAAATGTCATTGGAAACAGCCACATTGAAATAAGCAAATTATGTGTTAATTGAAATGGGCTGTTAAAAGTAGCTTATAGAGTTAAGTAAGATTTATTGGCCATCGACGAATTAAAATCAAGTTCCTTCATTAGACAACTTTCTGATGGAAGTGGCAACGCTATAACTTATTCCACTTTTAAATAAATACACAAACTACAGGAATTTGAATGAAAAAATGCATCTGCCTTTTCTATAAACCCAAAATAGCTGTCTAGAAAAATAAATGATCGGAAGTTTATCTTTAATTGCCTTAGTCTTCCTTAAATGCACTGAGAGAGTTTTAGCGATGTAATTGATATAACTAATATTGCTGTGACTTTACAAAGCAATATTTTATTCTTTGAACTCTTCCACAGATTTTTTCATTGAAGCATACCTAAACGTGGTGTTGCCAAGTCCATTTTTGTTAAAAACTTTTTGAATGTAATTAAATTGGATTTATATGAATATAATACATTCACTAATGAATGCGCAATTGAAAATATACCCTATTGTGGTTTGAATCACTTCGACGGAGGTGAATATGAACTTTACTATCCCTGAGTAATGTTTTAGACATAGAATATTTAGAAGTCGTAAAAATGAAGTTTTGCTCCTGTTAAAAACTTTAAAATGGTTTTTCAAGTACAACTTCTCAGCAGTATCACCTGAGTGAACTTCTGAGAATATTTTGAGCTTATTTTTTGAATCCTAAATATAGCAGTAAATGGAAATTCTTCATTAGCCTTCCTGAAGAATTAATATACTTTTAAAAAAATCATCCTAATCGCCTTCCTATCTCATATGAATAATTGCAGATTCATTTCGTTTTGGTTCACATTTTTCCACGAAAGCTGTGAACACCTGAATGTTGACTTAATTTCATTACCAACAATCTACTAACAAAGTAAATCTTTATTTACACATTGTAGTGGAAGAAAAGATGTAGATGAATTAGGAGGAAACAAATCAATTTACAAGAAGAAATTGTCATTAAATTATTGCAAAACCTGTTATTCATATTTAACTTGTTGCTTTCTTTGTAATTTATTCAGACTTGTCCTAAGGTAAAACTGTCAGGATTTAATACTTTAACTATTAAATGAGTTCACACTTCAATGTGTACTAAATTCAGGCCCCATTTTTTACTTCGCTGAGAATATACCCTTTCTATTTCATTACCTTATCAATTTCAGTCAAAAAAACTCTGCGATGATGCCAAAGTTTATCACTGATTCACCACAGACCAGAATGTTGAACTTTTAATCTCTGATACTCTTAGATTAAGAGTAGAGACTTCCGGAACGAAGTGACATTCACACTCTAGATGAAAGCACGCATTCGAAAATGAAATCTTCCGACAATAGGTAGATCTGTACATCCAATCATAAAGAACTGTCAATGAAGCAGTAAGGCTATCTGTATGTTGAAAGACGAAAAGTTTATCGTGACTTTTGAAGCTCATTCTAACGCCTTAATTGATTTAATATAATTTTCATTGCCCTCGTTTGCCTTTGCCTTAAATGTCAACTACAAGCCGCATTTATGAATGTTACACGCCTTTTTTATTCAACATTACAACTAAGATCCGGTTATTTTTATCATTTCTCTGTTTATTGATTTTTTCCCGTTCATCTTGAATGCACCTGGAGGCGTGGCTTCCTGCTGATAACTTTTAGCTTACAAATAAACAAAGTAATGTGATTTTTTAAAGCCAAATCAGTAGTAGATTAAAGTATGCCGATCAAGTCATGGGATTCCTTGCATGCAACTCAAGGAAATTAATGTTTATCGTTAAAATGATGCCGAATAAAGAATAAAAATTGGCATACATATTTCGCTTTATTTACCGAATCAAATTTTCAAAACCAATGAGAGTGAATTGTATTTTTTATATTTCGTTATTGAATATAACACGGCGACTCATTCAAGCCTTCGTTCGATCAATGTACGCTTTTGTTTATTGCTGCATTTATCCGTTTTGGTGGGTTGAATAAGCAGCTAGTCTGAGCATGGCACTAAACCTAAAAATGAGCACAGATATGGCGGAAAAGCTAAACTAAAGTACTTTGTGCCTTCAATTTGTCCACAAGTTAGGTCATTTAAGGTAAAGCGCACAGGTAGTGGGAGAGACGCCTTCCCCAACTATTTCAGGATTCAAGGTTTTTTGAGGCATTTATCTCACCTTTGAATCATCTAATTTATTTAGGCACTTTGTGTGTATAAAATCGTTCACTATTACTTGGAATCTCATTTTCTTCTCTTAGAATTTAACTTTTTTTAACACTTCTAAAGGAAAACATGAAAATTTAGCCCTAAAATATCCAACTTTATTAACGCATTAAATTTTTAGATAATGGACATTCATTTCGAGAGTCTATTCAACGAGGAAAATTAATAGATGAGGATATATTGGATTGTATGATCAACAATCAACAATTTAGGATTGGAAATACAATGTAATTTACAGCAGAACATTTAAGATTTAAGAACCACTTTCGATGATTTTCACCTTTCCATGGTATCAAAAATAGCTTTTTCTCGAACATAATTTACAAAATTCAGCCTCCATAATAATAGAAACCGAATTGACTTAGTTTGAATCTTAGTTTCTACATTTGTACAAGGTACTTTGCCTAATTCATCCCAAATAATTTGAGAAAGAAAAACCACCAATATTTGGAATACCCATCTCACCAAATATTTAATTAGCTGAATACACATAAATAAATATAAATAGAGCGGCGAAAGAGATCTCATTGGCATATTTATTTCGTGTTTGCCTGAAGTAGTCCAACCATAGCTGATGGTTAAGCGGACAGTACCACGGTATCAGATGGCATTCATGTGTAGAAATTTAATTTGGTTAAAGTGTTCTAGTTGATATAAATACTGCACCAGCTACAGGCAATTTAAAAGGTAACAACTGGTATGACGCCATTACTCAGTCTTTAAACGTGTGAAGTTTCAGGCATTTTCCACCATCTCTCATCAGGCTAATTAAAACCGCACTTTGAAACGGTAAGGGAATTCAATCTCCATCTAAGCAGATTAGGGTAAACTTGTTCCCTTTGATTTTAAGATCTGATTTGATTTTTACCTGACTTCAACAGTTCGAGATCACCTTTGTTCCCCAGCTGCACTAAGTGGCTCGAATTCGAACCATATCTTTTGGGGAAATCACTCGCCAATTTCTCCTCCTTTCTATATATTAGTTAAAATATTTAGTATACTAGTCTAACACCATTTTTGGTCACAAGTGCGACTTAGTAATCTTGTCTTATTCGATATAAACATAGGAATCTTTCAAGATTGTTTTTATTCGCTGTTTCGAAAATGTTCTTCGAAAAGTTGGTCAAAACGCCTAACTATTTTGTCCTCTCCAGAATTTTTAACTTCCTACTATTAGATATATGCATATTTATTTATTTTACAATTCACGCTCGACAACTAAAGTTTGAAATATTAATTATATACTAATGAAAGTGCATCGGTGAAAGTGTAATTGATAAATTTTAAAATGTTATATTTTTTAGGAGTTGTCATTGTAAGTAGAAGCTATTGTGTTTTAGGTACTTTAATTAGTCATTTTATAATTTATTATTGATTTGTTATAAATAGCAGACCGTTATAGTTTAAAGCATTTATTCATTAGAACACAGTCCTCTCTAATATGATTAATTTATTATTTAACTCTTTCTCAAGGATGACCAACAGTTTAACTTAATTTTTTTGTCTAATTTGTAGACTTCTTGCATGCTTTATTAAAAGGAAAGCCTGTAGAATTAGTTCATTTAGTACCGTCTTTATATGCCGACGTGAGAAAATGCATGCGCTCCCTTCTTCCGTGAAATTTTATCAGATCAACAAAAAAGAATATAGCTATTTTCTGCAACAAAATAATAATTTCAATATCATCTCAATAGGCTCTATGGCACTAATATTTCCTATTAGGTATTATCGGAATTGCTTTTTGTTATATCATCAGTGGAGCGGATTGCTACGCTAGTGAAGCCTTGATTGACTCAGAAATCTCTGTAGCAGATTCTCCTCTATCTAGCTAGACTCCCAGAACTAGCTAAGCTGCAGCCCAGCTATGGGGGAAATAGACGTATCGCGCGGAACACTTTTATTTGGGAAATATACTGTGGATAAAGTGTACTCGTCGGAATGTTAGTCATAATCAAAATATCAGAATCGCTTAAACAAACACAGGCTTCTAATTGGTTACTGGTTTTGCGCGTATGCGATCACGTGTCCCAAACCAGTCAGTCTGAATATCTGATTAAGTTTGTTTGTGCAATTTTTAGGACATATTTTTTTCAATAATAATTGAGTAAGCAAATAAAAGAAAGTAAGTTTTCACACGTTGCGTTTCAACCATAGGGTTTAAAAGTTTTGTTTAATTTTAATCGGTTTATATAAAAATGGTACTGAAATATTTTAGTAGAATATTTCTCAGTTGGGAAATTCTTTCCTCCGTTTTGTTCTTTCAAATAGCCTAAAAGAAATAGAACGAAAAGGAATAAAACTCAATACCCTTTATGCTATTGGCTACAAAGTTTCTACTTTTAGCTTATATTGGGTCTTTCATGCCTTATTTCCAGAAAAATATGCCAAAAAATCTCAATTTAGTAAATGAGCGCATTTTTTCCATCGACGTCGTCTTTGAACTAGCTCTGCTTCTTATCAATTAACTCCCAGCTCATTGAACCATCGCAAATTTACCCACCTGTGGAGATCCAAAACTATTTGACTGAGAGTTGCAATATAAATTATGAATGTTGCTATGGAAATTGGAATTCAGTCACTTCGCTCTCATTGTGTTAAAAAGTACTTTGGGGTTAATCAATGGATGGAATAAACAGAATGTTCACCATTAATCCCATTGGTGTTTAGATTCAATCTTGTAACCAATAACCCCAAGTACAGTCTGTGTCTATTGTTGTCTTCTCTACCTGCAGATTATGGTCTTCGTATTCGCGTAGCCGTTAGGCTATACTATTTAATTTCTTTTATATAATTATTAATACTTTTTAAGGTATTTGCCTTCTATAATTTGCTTTTAATGTTCGATTCTGATTTAGAAACATAAATAATAACATTTCGCCTATTTGACCACTAATTGGCGATATGAATTGCTGATTATCTCGGACTATAGTCGTTAGATATATTTCCACATTTTACGATGAAATATTTTAAATCAATCTAAAATTCTGTATTATTTAAATTTAAAATATGGACCAATAGTTGGCAGTAAATAAATTGCTGCTAAGTTGTGGTAGATTTAATAATGAGTCATGACGAGCAAAAATTAATTGCCTAATCTATTGGTCCAAAAGTAGTGACATGCTCTAAGCCTTAGTTTCTCGCTAACTTTGCAGAAATTTGTCTTCTAACAAATGCTCGTCGAGTGGCAAGCGTAAGAGCTGAGACCTATTGCAATCTCTATGCCCTGGATCGAACCAGTTTCCAGGATGTGCTTCAGAACTACCCTTTCATGCGACGCACTCTGGAATCCGTGGCAGCTGAAAGACTCCATCAACTCGGAAGGGATCCACTTCAGGTGATTCATCGAAAGAATTTGAAGGAGGATCTGGAGATTGTCAAGGAGATCGTCAGCCAGGTATTTATTGCAGTCCACTAATTGAGTTCATGTGTAACTTATTTTAGTTATAACAAATTAGCTCTATCATATAGTCTAATATTAAAATGAATGTGAAATTTGGGAAAAAATCGCCTCGCAGAATATTCTTGAATTTTGGCATTTAATTTTTTACTGATTGTCCAAAAAGCTCGTCTATTTGCGTTAGAAGAACTAAAAGGCGTTCTCTGTTAGTTTTAATTATCAACTTCATAGTTTTGCTTGTGTGACTGACATATATTCCCAAAGCTGTCGTTATGCATTAGCATCCACAAGCAACAGTTGAAATAATTCATATTTGTGGGGAATTAGCAAATGGAATACATTCTCCAAACCCAGAATCAACCATTGAGACCTTTTAAACCCTAGCAAGTAGTTAATCGATTTTCACACGATGGAGCGGTGACCTCCCATTTACTGTGTGCCAGTCCCGCTTCAGCATCGATGACTTCGCCTTTTGATGGTGATGATAGGTGTTCTAAATTACCTTAGCTAAAGTTGCACTTTGCACAAATAATGCGGAAGAAAAGAAAGAAAAAAGGCTATGCAGAGTTATGATTATGGCTTGACAAAGCTATCTTGACTTAAACAGCCATCAATGTCAATTCTTATCACTTAGACCACAAATTCGAACGTAAACCCTGGAGATCAAAATATTCGGATAAGCGTAGACTACATAGGCAAAAGCCATCAAGGCCCCACAGTACCAAATTTAACCTCAAAAAATTTGAAGGTCATTTGTGGTACCACATATATTAGTACCACCTCTGTTGCACTTTGAATAGGGAAAGAAAGTGTGCACTTCAAATCGTGTGGCTTACTTAAACTAATTTGTCTTCTAAGACGTGACCATACGTTCACTTATCGTGCTCTATAATTGGGCCTGCCCTCATTAACAAAAGGATACTAGTCTAGCCTTTGTTTTTCGACCAATTATCACGTGATAGTTAGGCCCGGGCCGACATGACTCAACCGGCTTGGATAGTTCCTGTGTTTTATTATGACTTCACGGCTCTATAACAGCTACTGATCTCATCATGTCCATGAAAAATTTCCTTTGGTATTTTTTTTCTTGCAAATGCGAAAAATTTCAAGACATACGTTTGCTGTTATTAGCTTTATGCCATTTAAGATTCTGCTTCAGATGATAATGCTCAACTCCGGTATTCAATGTGAATTGACATCCAAGTACTCGCCCTGCCAAAATGATCCATCGGTTCAATGCTTATTAATTTGGATTTTATTCAGTCAATACTGTTTCCACTCTTCTAAAACAATATTTTTGTCATTTCACTTTTTATAAATCGTTCCTATTTCAAATACTTACTGGTTAAATACTACAGTGTAAATGGTTGGCAAAACATGGTATATTTGGTTCGACACGAGATAAGTCAGCCAGACGATCATAAAATCGCGACATATCAGATAAAATCATTTAAAATCCCGTATTTAAGGCAAGAAATGTTGTCTATTGCTCTACAGGGAACATGTAATATAGATATACCAATGATAATATTTAAAAGTGATTTTATATTAATTTATAGGCTGAAAAGGAGGGAAGTGGATTCGGCACTACTTCTTTCAAATATGTGAACGTTCCAAAACGAACTTCAGATTCTGGGAGTTTGTCCTCAAGCAAAAGTAATGAAAGTAGAAGTCAATCTAATAATTCTGTCTGGCAGAGAACGTTCCGCAGTCGTCTCTATCGACGGAAGGGCAGAGTTCGTGTCCCTTCATCCAGGACAGAGAAGCTGAAATCCGACTTAACTGAGGCCGATCATGAGGAGTCGGAAGGATCTGAATCAGATCAACAACAAATTCGAACTGCTCGTCAAATCCCCAGTAGTGCTCCTCCACGATTAGGCTTCACTGGCTCACGACCAAAGCATCGATTTTCTTCGGCCAAACAAAGGATTAACCGAAGGGGTAGTAGGCAACGTATGCGTCAGAATAGTGGAACTGCTTTCAGATTCGCTTTAAAAAATGCCACGCTATATGGCAATGATACTTTGGGAAAGGATCCTGCCCAGCTAGAAGGCAACAGTAACATTGACTAACACCCATGATTAATTATTTTTAGAATATACTTGATAAATTGCATCGACGTTTTGACAATCTTCCCTTATCTCCTTCAATAACTATTCCTTACCACTTGGTAATGCTCGTAATATGAAATCTCTTCCATAACTTTTATAACGTGTTATATAGCTCTTACTATCGCCTGGGCTAGGTAACGTATTCGTAAGAAATTGGATTTTCCCCGAGGTTTTCACCAACCTTAAGGTTAGGCAACTAATTGGCTTAATGTGACGCAGGTTTGACTCACAATTGCGCCTACCTATCAGATTTGCTTTTTTTGTAACTCTAAGGAAGAAAAATTGGGCTACTGGCTGTTGTCATTTGCTGATCTTTGTGCCTCAGGTAAATATATTTTGACCTGTAATTAGTCCTTGTTTCAACTTTGACTATTAATTCCTAAAACGTTTGTATTTTCCTGAAATAATACATTTGTTATATATATATTTTTAACGGAGTTGCAACTGAAGCTTTGTTATCGTTACCTGACTTAGAAACGCGACAGCTAGTGCCTAATTTAGACCAGTTAATTAGTCAGTTAAGTTGAACCCTGTAAGTAATAACTTGGAGTATTTTGTGTTCATTGGAAATACTGGAGGTCAAATTAGAGTGAGCAAAAATTGGGGTGGTTTTCTTTTAAATTAAAACGCTTATTGAGTTTAAGCTTAATTTGCCATTTTTCTATTGTTAATATTGGAATGGCTGAAATTGGTTCGTGCTATAAGAAATAGATTGGATTGGAGTTAATGGGACTCCACACGTCCTAAAGTCTTAGAAATCATGTCAACCGTTTAATACCTGTGAAAATTTGAGCTTAAAATAAATTGGCCCAGATCGGGGTGAAAGGAACGCCATATCTCTTGCAAATTATTGAAAAGGAATAAATAAGACTTTTCTATTATAATAAATCCTCTTCTCAATTGTGCTTACCTCGCAAATTGAATTTTAATTAATATATATCAAATGGCAGGTTTAATGATAGCTAGCATTAGCGCATTAGTTGACTTCAGGCCTCCCAAAGAGGAGGAACAACAAAGTTACAAAATGTGGAGAGGGAAAACAGAAGAGTGATTCATAGATGCAAAAGAGGGAGACACGAAGGTAGAGTACTGTAGAGGTGGACGAATATGACACAGTCGGATCATGGCATGCCAATTGTATATACTTATTTTGACTAATGAGTATAAGTTGTCCAGGGTACACCACGTGACGGCAAGTCTATCGCACACCCTTAGCAAATTGGATATAACTTTATGCACTTATAAAGCCTCAACGGTAGTAAAATAAAATTTCCAAATTTTTTGGCAGTTGGAATTAATGGGGAATTTTTTAATGTTTCCGCACATATTAGGCTGGCCATTTGAAATGATAGTACGTTCATATGATAAGATACTAGTTATTAATCAAATTTACGACAAATTAATCACCTAAAAAACTAATTAATAAATATGTGGAACTTTCAATTATTGGAGACGGGGGGGGGATAGAGATGCGCCCGAGATTAATTAGCTCAGCTGTCAATCCACAAGACCTGATTCGTATTTAGCACATTATTGTCGGGGCTGTGGCATTGATGCACCCCGTGACTCACTCGCGACATTTTGAGAAAAGTTAAATTTACTTTGACCTTACACCTGGCTGTCTGCCCTTTGCATGGGAAATGGCCATTGTATTTAAACGCTGTTAATTTCTTTTCAAAAAATTCTGCGTTTTTACAATAACTTGAATAAACATGACCAATTCAACATATTTGTTCATTTCATTTCATTTTATTAACCCAATGCAAAATGAACGGTTAGAGAGAAAATATTTATGTATATCGAATGGGAGGCTCAATTATGGTCACCATTAGTCTGATAGTCGACTTCGGACTTCACTAAGGGGAGGAACAACCCCACTAAAGTGGAGATAGGGAACAGAAGAGTGATTCATACATTTAAATGGGACAGACGCGAAGTTGGAGAAGAAAGTAAAGTGAGTACAATGGAAGTGGTCGAATAAGACAATTGTGTCGGGTCATGGTAGTTTGAAGTCAGAAGTCAACTGCCGGTTAATATACTTTTTTGTTGTTTGAGTATACGTTGCCCAGGGTGCATCACGTCAAAATAAGTCTATTGCATACCAGAGATGAAATATATGATTTAACATACTGGATAACCCAGTAAAGATAACTCTAGTGTATTATTTTCTTGGTCAAATTTCATTTTACACTATTTCACTTAACTTTGCTTTCACGTAAAGGAAACGAAATTAAGGCATTATTTGTGAATCCAGCATATTTGATAAATTTGCATGTCTTCATTTTTCAGACTGGTATATTGAAATCAACTGTGTCTTTCTATACAGATGGAACAGCCACAAGTTCTCATCACAGCTTTACCGTGATGAAGTTTGGATATCATTTCATGTCCAGAGACCGTTGTTTTGTAGGCGCTTTGTGAATAGCAGGCTGTAGGTGCAATGACTTAAACATGGTTCGAACTCCGAATACTTGATCACCTGAGTCTCGCCTCTCTCTCTCTCTCACAATATCTTGACGATTGTTGAGATGACAGTAGGCATGGTTTTCGAGAGACAAAACCCTTTTAAAAGGGTAGGAAAATAATATCTGATCCAAAGATTTATCTGGACAATCAATTTCCTTTCGGTTGTTGACTTTATAATCTGGTCATCCACTTTAGTAATCTTCCTTCACTAACTCAACTCCCATTTTGACACATTTTGCCAGCATAATGGGTCGTAACATTCCTCAACCGGACGGTAACTTTTTTCCCGTTGTCTAGTCATAATGACACGTATATTTATTCTCTCCTCAAGCCCTATGAGTCAACAAAAAATCCAAAGCCTTTTGTTCTTTCCCGCCCCCTCCCCCACCCCCCCA